TAATATGTATTTGTCTCTTATTATTATTATCATCATCGTCGTTATTATTTTTATTAAAGATTTAATTTAAACGAACGCTCGCTCATGTGAGATGCATAAGGCAGAAGGTTAATTATGGCGGAATTTTTCCCTTTTAATAATTAAATCTTTGGAGCTTCCATCAATTAAAAAAAAAAAAAAAATTTTTTATAAAAGGCGTCGAAATGTTTTATTAAAAAAAAAAAATTATTATTATTATTATCATCATCAATATTTATTTTGCTTTTTTTTTTTTACTTTTTAATGGTGGCCAACTCTGTTTTTTGCATATGTGCTTACGTTTAGAGTGGCTTGTGTCACGGTAAATTAACTTAAACTTGCAAAGAGAGAGATACTCGATGACCTACCTACTTGCAAGACCGTATTCATCAGCTTTTTTTTTATTTTGCGAATGTGCGCGTGAGTGCGTACACGTGTGCGTGTACGTGTGTGTATGTGCGTGCACGAATCACGGCTTATTTTCTTTAGGTTAATTGTCATTACTTGACTCGATTGTAAATATTCTGTAAATAAATAAACTTGCACTTGCTTTACAAAAAAAAAAAAAAAAAAAAAGGGGGGAAAATAGTTACGCACGCATTAATTCAGCCTTGCAAGGCTTTTTGCTGCGTTACTATTGTCTTCCTAATAATAATAATAATTTTTTTTTAATAAAAAAATGTTTGCCCACAATAAGTGGCATTAAAGAGAAAGAGAGAGAGAGAGAGAGAGAAAAATATTTACGACTATTCTCGTTCGATTTTGATATTATTGTTTTATATTTATTATTATTATTATTTTAAAATTATTAATTCTATTTTTATATCGGATGTAGTCGATGCATTATTAGAAAGAACAAACAAACAAACAAAAAGTAGTAGTTTAGAATTTCAAATATTTTAGAATTGTCGCTGTAGTTCTTTACGATTTACAGACATTGAAAATTTTTTTTTTTGTTTTATTAAAATTAACAACGTCGCGATACGCCCCCCTCTCCCCCTTGTCAGATTGAAAAATTATCGTTAAAATGTAAAATTTTAATCACTTGCTTGTGTGTGTGTGTGCGTTCCCTGTGTTATCAATTGATATTTTTTAAAGATGGAGAAAAGAAAATTAAAAAAAAAAAAATGTCTACCATAATTTCAAATGAAGGTTTTCTTATTTTCTCTCTCTCTCTCTCTCTCTTAAAGAGTCAGATATGGTTCGTTGGTATAATAATTACGAGAGTTTAATTTTCATTCACTCCATGCCTACGCACACGAATTATTATCATTATTATCATTATTATTATTTTAATTTTCTGGAGCGTGCGCAAGTGGCAATTTAGCTCGTCAAAAAGTTGTTTTATTATTATTATTATTATTATTTATTCGATTCGATTTGATTTTTTTTTTTTTTTTTTTAGTTAAGTTAAGTTAAAAGTTAATAGTAATAATAATAATAATAATAATAATTCAACGAATCATTCGACCCGTTTAAATAAGGAAAAAAGAAAAAGGAAAAAAAAGAAATTAACATTTAAAAATAATTGATTTAAAATTTTCACATCGTCATTTGAAATGTGTATACAATTTAAATTTAAATTTAAATTTTTTTTTTTTAATTTTAAAAAACAATCGAACGTCCTTTATTAATAAAATATTTTTTCAAATAAATAAAACCTTCAAAATATGTAAATAGGAATATATTTATTTCTTTTTAAAAACATACCTTAAATTATTGTTATTGTTGTTGTTGTTGTTGTTATTGTTATTGTTATTGTTAATTTTTTTTTTTTTTTTTTTAATAACAAGAGAAAAAAAAAAAAATTTGTATTGAAAAATTTGTGTGAATATGTATGTAACGTGTTCGATGAAATAATATATATTTAATTTTTTTTTTTCTCGACCGTTACACTTGTTTTATACGTAAATACCGTTATTATTATTATTATTATTATTACGGGTGTAAATGTGAGGGGATAACTCTTTGTGGATTTGAGTTGTACAGGTCCTTATTTTAGATAAAAGTGTATATATGTATATATTTTGTACATAAATACATATATAAGTTTTTGATATTTTTTTATTTACATAAAATTCTACAATTTATTTATTTATTTTTTTCATTTTCACAGCTGGTGACTCTGACATTAGCCCTGCTATGAGTGCGTCTCACTTAAGAATCGGTAGGAGGAAGACTGATCTAATGCCTACGATCCCTTCGCCAAGGGATGGTACAACCAGTCGACCCACATCTGGATCCCGGTCCCTGGCCAGAACGCCAGGTAGGGCTTATTCTATGGCGCGACTCGACATTTTGGCTCAGCCGCGAGTCGTGCATTCGAATCCTTATTCGCAACCCTTATCGGGGTCTTCGAAATCAATGTCGCGTAGCACTAATCATCTGGTAGAAAGTAAAGAGTTTCAGTCGAACACTTTGACCAAAAAGGATACGTCAAAGAGCATGATGCAACTTCACTCGAAAGGTCAATCGTTGAATTTCATACAGCCTCGAATGACTAGAGCTCAACGACTAAGAAATAAAGCAAAAGCTATGGCTTCTTCGACAAAGAGTTTGTCACCCGACGGTGGTTTGTCGTCAGGTACCTACGTAAAAAAAAAAATTAAAGGGATTCTCGAGGGTTTCAGTTCTTTCAGTCATTTATTTTCTTTATAGATGATTGGCCCCCTCCCCCTCCCCCTTCAATTTTTTTTTTTTTTTTGGTGTTGGGATCCCTTATGGATTCATTCATTTTCATAGAGAAAAAGAATCATCATCATCATCTATCTAATTAGTTTCAGTGGTTTTTTTTTTTTCTTTCACACACAATTAAATATTCTTTCGTAACTTGGTATCTAACGTAAAAATTTTCTTTTAACTTGCACTAGGATTGATTGGTATTGCACCCCTTTTTCTATTTTTTTTTTTTTTTGGCTTAGCAACATTTCTTTTAACATGAAACAAATTTATTTTTGACAAAGAGCGCCTCTACTTCATACTTCTTCATACTTAAATTCACGAGTTTAAAAAAAAAAAAAAATTTTTTTGTTAAAAGTTGTTTGGTGTCAACCATGAAGATAAATAATAACCACCACCACCACGACCACGACAAAGATATTTCCAATGCTTTCTTACCAGGTGATGGTGCTGCAAGTCATTTTTTTTCTACAAATGGGAATAATTACGAATAATTGCTTTTTTTTTTTTTTTTTATATAAATTAAAAAAATTTTTTTTTTTGTAAATTAAAAGGGGTTCGTTAGATATAGTAAAAAAAAAAAGAAAATAAGGTAACATAAACTTGAAAACTTTTCTTTTAAATTAAAATTACAATTTTTTTTTTAATGGTTGTCATTTTGAAATGGGAAAACGTAATGATTGATATAAATAATAATATTTCAGGTGACACGACACCCTCTCGTCCTGGAAGTGTACTAAGTCAATGCAGCTTTACCAGTGCCTCGACACCGACACCCACACCGCGGTTAAGGTCTGCGCCAAGGAAGCCTAGACCGTTTAGCATTCACATAACCGGAGTAACAAAAGACTCGCAAAAAATAGGTAAATAGTTTTTTTTTTTTTTTTTTTTTTGGAAAGTCAGTGTTGATAATAATGTTTTCTCTCTCTTTTCTCAATCCAAGATTCACCATCGGAAGAAAAATCAAAACTTAAAGAATTGAAAGCGACAAAACCAACGGGTGTGAAACAACAAATTAGGAAGCAAAATTTACCCAAAAGCGACGACGTAACAAAACGTCAACAAGGAATTGGAAATAATAATAATAATAATAATAGTAATAATAATGGAAATGGAATGAATAACAACAAAATCGATGTCGAAACCAACGCATCCGAAGAAATAAAATCAGAAAAAACAAATGAAAATAATAAAGAAGAATTAATTGTAAAGGATAATAATGAAACGAAAGAAAATAATGTTGTAAATAATAATAATAATAATAATAATAATATTACGACGAGTGACGTAGGAGCCCAAAATTCAAATCAAAACATTATGACGAAGTCAACAAAAAATATACAGAATGGTAAAAAGGAATCTTCTAGTAACGATAATGATAATTCTGGTTCCATCGATGACGAATCAGGAAAAGGTAATTTAAAATTTATGTTCACGGGGGGGAAGGGGAGGGGAACGGAGAAAAATAAGTAAATATTACGTCATCATCCGTTTGCAGTCAACGTTATGACAAGATCAAAAATATCAACCGAAGAAGAAGCGAAGGCAGCTTTAGCAGAAAGACGAAGGGTTGCTAGAGAGCAAGCCGAAAGAGAAGCGGAAGCGGAAAGGCTTCGTTTAGAAATGGAAGCTAAATTGGAAGCGGAAAGATTGAGGAAGGAGGAAGAGGAGCAGCGTTTAGCCGAAGAAGAACAATTAAGATTATTAGAGGAAGCAAGGAAAATGGAAGAAGATAGATTAATGCAAGCAATACAGGTAAAAAAAAAAAAATTTGCGTCTCTCAATCTTGATCGTAGTGTAACAAATAATGAAAAAAATTTTTTATATTCCAGGAAGCAAAAAAAAGAGAAGAAGAAGAAAAAGAAAAACGACAGCAAGAAGAATTGGTAAGATTAGAAAAAGAAGAAGCGGGTAGAAAAGCTCGAGAAGAAGCGGAAAGGTAAATAAATTTAAAGGGGTCGGGGGGGGGGATTGTTTAAAATTATTTTTAAAAAAAATTTTTTATAATTTTTTTTTACAGGCAAAGAATAGAAATGGCCGAAAGATTAAAGAGAGAAGAAGAAGAAAGGCAAGCAAGAAGAAAAAGAGTGGAAGCCATAATGAAGCGTACTCGGAAAAATCCGGAAAATTCGACAAATAAGGTAAGTGAAAGTGAAAAAATGATATTTTTGTTTTCTTTCGTGGAAATGTTTAAATTTAAAAATAATTTTGTGTGTCAGGCTGATAGTGAAAAAGGTGAAGAAGATGGTACGGAACATGAAAAGGACGAACCAAAAAATAAATTGGAAGTTTTCTTACACGGTGAAAGAATGTCGACGGACATGACGTTAACCAACGGTCAAACAACTAGCCAAGATAATAATCATCATAATCATCATCATCATCATCATAATGATGATGATAAGGAGGAGGAAATGTTGGATTCTAATCTGTGAGTCGTCACCCATTCGAAAATTTTCTCGTTTTTCCGGGAAGGAAATTTGAAAAGAGATCATTTTTTTCTTTATAGGATTGATAATAATCATTCAAACGGAGTAGACATAACAACAAATAATAGTTTAGATAATAATAAAAAAGAAGAAGAAGACTGTCTCAATTCGAATTCTACGTTGGTCACACCTTTGATAGGTTTTCAGGGAAAAACAAAGGAAACTTCTGTCACAGCTGATTACATGGCCTAAATTGTTTTCTTTTTTTTAAAAAAAGGTAGTCGTAGTTGTGAAAATTCTTTCTTCTTGTTGATTGCGTATTTCCGATAGTTACACGAAGATCGATCGATACTCTCTGTTTGGTTAAAAGCCAAGGAAAGCCCTCGTATTGCGGCTGGACTGCATTTGTACGGAAAAAAAAAAAAAAAAAAAAAAAGTTTTTCTTGACTACATCTGGTCGTTTCTCAGGTGTTTATAAAAGGGGGATTCCAAAAAACAAAAAAAAAAGGGATAAATGATTTCGCGTTATCATTCCTCACCTCTTTTCGTTTCGTTTTTTTTTTTTTTTTTTTTTTTTGTTCGCGTTAGAGTAAAATAATAAGTGCTTTTTTTTTAAAAAATTAAAACAAAAAAAAAAAAAAAAGGATAGCGTTTTGGTTGTGCATTTTGTTATTATTATTATTATTATATTTTTGTTTTTTTTTTTTTAATTTTCCATCAATTGAAAAGAGAAAAATTTAAAGAGGGGGGGGGGGGGAAAAAAAAAAACAAAAATAAATAAATAAATAAGCTTTCACACATGGTGGTTTTGGGCAACTAGATTTTTTTAATATAATTAGAATTCACGCAAAAAAAAAAAAAAGGAAAAAAAGGAAGAAAAAAAAAAAATTGCTACTACTAGTGATTAAATAATGTAATGTAATCATATAATTTTTATATATTTTATTCAGTTAACAATATTGAAAAGACTCATTTGCGTCGCGTTGATGATAATAATAATAATAATAATAGTAATGATAATAATTAATGATGATGATGATAATAACAATAATAATAATCGATTATATGATATAAATTTAAATTTTTTTTTGAAAATAGTTTCTGCCTTTAAAAAAAAAAAAAAGAAAACTAATCCAAAAAATAAGCAAATTAATAATAATAACGATGATAATAGTAATAATAATAAAAACAATAATGATAATGATTTACGTTATTTATTTATTTTTTTTCTTTTTTTTTTTTTTATAAATAATTTATTTTTTTGAAAATTTTTTTTTTTGGAACTTTATTTTTATTTTTTTTTTATGATGAGTTATGTAAATAATATTTTATTTTTACATATTTTCTGGATCGTTTTTAATAAAAAATATATACATACATAAAATAAATAACACGTGTATAAATAAATAAATAAATGAGAAAAAAATAAATATTTACGTCACTGTTTTGTTTTCAGTTGAATTTATTATTATTATTTTTTTTTTTTTTGTTATTATTAATGCGAACAACCAAAGGCAGATTTAATTAATTATTAATAATAATAATAATCGACTTCGACTTATTATACATACATATATATATTCTTTTATACGTTTCAAAATGATATTAATGATACCCTTTTTCACATTTTAAAAACAAAAAAAATATTAGCTGTATATAAATTAAATATTTACTTAACCCTTGGTAAAAAACAAATACATAATTTATTTAATGTATTATTATTATTATTATTATTATTATTATTAAATTTTATTTAATAACTGATTATGAGTATTTATGGATCAATCGTGTTAAAAAAACGGTTTTGATTATTTTTATGCTGATAAGAAGAGCTAAATGTTGATTGGTTGATTGATTTTCTTTTAAATAAAAATGGCGATGATGATGATGATAAGGGTTAAGAAATTATGACAGCTATACTGAAGAATATATAAAAAAAAAATATATAATATTATATAAGTATAAATATATATATTGTTAATGTTTTTTAAAACGACGATTAATCGATAATTAAACAAACAACAAACATTATCAACATAACGATCGTGTTTATGTTGTTGTTGTTGTTGTTGTCGTCATCAATAATTTAATTTGTTTTAAAATTTGTAAAGTTTAAATGAAATCATTAGAAACGTCGTAATGTTAAATAAATATATAAAATATATACATAAATACATAAATAAATACATAAATACATAAATACATGGATATGATTTATTATTTGTGATTATTATAGTTTTTAATATAATATTTTTAATGTTTTGGTTAATAAGTGCGCTTTCAACCGTCCTTAGATTTTTTTTTTTTTTTTATTTATTATATCGTAAATAAAAATTATTAATAATAATATTAATATTATAATAATAATCATATTTAATTAAATAAGGAAATGAATTTTTTTTTTTTTTTTTTTTTCTCGATTGTTTCGAAATTGCTTTGTGTTGTATATTTTTGTGTTGCCTTTGTTATTATGAATTTTATTATTATTATTATTATTATTATTATTATTATTATTATTATTATTATTGAATGTTTAAATGAAAGGAAGGGATTATTACATAAGTTAATTATTTAATATTAAATATATATATTATACACGTGAGTGAATAAGAGGGATGATGATGATGATATTTTGCCTTTTTTTGTCTTCTTTTTGTGAAAAACATCACACATACACACACACACACACACACACGCATACAAAATATTCTATTATCATTATCATTATTATTATTATTATTATTATTGTTATTATTTTACAACGTTTTTTTTAATTTTTTTTTTTCTCGTACGAAATTTATTTTTAATTGTTTAAAAAAATTAACATTCAATGCAATTATTAATTGTTGTTATTAAATAAAAATGTAATCGCTATTATGCTAATGTTTAAAAAAATTTTATCACAGAATAATAATAATAATAATAATAATAGAAAAATTAATAAATTAATTAATTTAAGTTTACAAAAAAAAAAAAGAAATTTTTTTATTCACTTGAGTTTATGATAGTAAAACAACATTTGTAGCATAGTTTCTGGTCTAATCACTAAAATTTAAATAAATAAAAAAAAATTAATAAATAAATAATTTAATAATATTATATTTAACGGGGGTTTTCTTATTGTTATTTATTGAATTTCCTTGATATTAAAATTAATTTAATTTTTTTAAGAAAAATAAATAAAATTGTTTGGGCGGAATGGTTTCGTTACTTAAATTGATACCGTAGGGTATCAGATAGGATACCAGAAATCAGGATTGCCAACTTAAGAAAATTTTAATTTATAAAATAACACGAGTGTTTTTGCGTTGGATCCCTTTCATTATTATTTATTTTTATTGTTTGTAAAACGTGTAGATAAACTTCCGGTTAGCAGACATATTGTTTGTTAAATCTCTTTGTTTTTCACATTGTGATTGTATTTTTCCATTTCCGTAATTGTTTTTCCCTTTTAAAAAATTCCCTTTCGTAATCTTTATCGAATCCTTTATCGAAATATTTTTTTATTATTATTTCGAGTACGAAAACGATTATCGAAATTATAATTCCAACGGTTAGAATACAAAATGGAAAAATGATTTGTTTTATTGAAACTTCTAAAAAATCATTTTTACGAGAATAATCAATATCTTCGTACGACAGCATTTCTCTTCTCATTCTATTATAAACTCCACATTCTTTAAATTTTTTCAAACTAATAAAAAAAATGATATTTTATTAAAAATTATTATTTTTTTTTAAATAATTTTTTTTTTTTAATTGAATTTCTTACGCTTTGTTCATAAATTTTCCGTAAATTGAATTTTTAGGTAAACCTAATCCGATATGATGAGAAAATATATCTGGGATTTCGATGACGTCACATAATAATTTATGTTCTACTATATTTTCTCTAAATTCAATATAAGCCAAACTTTTATTAGAACATAATTGAGAAATGGCTTCTTGTGCATTTTTAGGTAAATCGTTTTGTTTTAAAAATTGACTCAATCCGAGAACTTTAAGGTATTTCTAAAATAAAAGAAAAAAATTTAATTAAATTAAATTAAAATCATATTAAATAATTTTAAGGACTTTAAATGAATTTTTCCTCACGTTGAAAAAAGTTTTATGATATCCTTCTGTTAAAGTCAACAACATGTAACTTCCATCCGATATAAAATCTTCAAATGTTTTAAATGGTATGTGAGGTGTGGTTACGGTTAAAGACGATATTAATTTTGCTGAATATCCTTGATAAATTAATAATACGAATAAAAATGTCGACATGTACACGACTCGATCCGCACACCACGTAGGCATGTTATACACATCTAATAAATAATATTAAAAATAATAAACAACCACAAAAACCAATCCAAAAAAAATAAAATGGTAAAATAATAAACAAAACCTTGATTGCAAAAAACTTGCAATGATTTCAATATAGATTTTATTGTAACGGTTATTTGAAATTTTTTTTTCTTTTCTCGAACGTTTTTAAATATTTGAATTAATATTCCCGATATTAAAATCCATATTAATATTCCTATTTGTAAATTTATATTCAAGGGTTTTAAATAACCCCCTAAAAATGTTTTCACCCTTTCATTTTTTATATACAACATCGTCCTGCAAAAAAAAATGGGGGGGGGGGTGAAATTATTTAAAAGCATCATATAAAAATTTTTTTTTTTTCTTAATATTACTGTGTTGAATGTGTAGGCCAAGCAAAATCGTAAATGTTGAGTCTTTCACTGCTTACAGCATAAGTACAACCGGAAATGTCAACTTCTTTTCTCATTAATAATAAAAAAACATCAGTCAACGAACCATTTTCTCCATAATACGAATAATTCAAATCCAAACGTCTCACAACGTTCATTCTGGAAATCAAATGACTTTGTGAATAATATGTATATGAAATTTCTCAAAAAAACAAAAGAAAATTTACTCACCGGAAATTTAATTCCTTTGACAAAACGCCAATTAATTCAGAATGAAAACATCTCAGTTTATATACAAAAAGTTTTAATTTACCTTTACAAATAAATTCGTCGTACTGTTTAAAAAAAAATTAAAATAACGTTATTAAATCATTAAATAACAAAAAGAGAAACAATTTTTTTACCTCGTGAACCATTGTTTTCAACGATACGTTTCCAAAATCGATTTTATCATATTTATCAACAAGTGTAATGCCATAAGATTTGGGCGCAAACCAAAATCCATAAAGTTTAACGATGGGTTTTTTGTTAACATTTGGATTTTTAATTTTATTTATTATAACTTTATCCTCATATGATTCTAATAAAAATAACCTCACGTTAATGGGAATTTGATATTTTACAATATCCGTAAGTGAATTATTAAAATTTAACAAAATTAAAGCGTCTGGAAATTTTATCTGAAAAAAAAAAAACAATAATAATAATGATAATGAATATACACGTTCAAGACGGATTCGTTACGTAATAATAACTTACCTTTGTAAAAACATTTGTAAAATTATAAGATCCGTTAATTAATAATATCGTTATCCCTCTTAAAATATTTTTTTCTCCGTTAATTTCGTTTAATAATTCATCAAGAGTTTTCAAATCGATTATCGACGTGTAAAAACCGTCATTGGAAAAATTTTTCGTTATGTCGCCAAATTTCAAAATTTTTTCATTTTGTACGAAAACGAGAAATTTGGCGGCATTCAATGTGGCGACATCTTTTATTAATTGTAAATCTCTTTTCGAATAACGGCCATTTTCATCGCAAGCGTTGTATTTGATTAAATTTAATAACAAAAATATTTTAATATTCGTTTTAAAACGGACAATCATTTTAAATTACTTTTTTCGTTCGCGTTTAGTGAAAATGTCGAATAAATATTATTCGAAAGGAAAATACACATGCAACGTAAATTATAAATGTTTTTTTTTTTTTTTTCCATTTTCACTCAGTGTCATTTTCAAAAGATTAAAAAATACTAATGATGATTAATTTTCCAGGAATTGTTGTTTTCGAAATATTGAAAAAAATAAAAGAAATTTGATTGAAATAATTTAATGAGGAAAATAATAAATTATGTATAAAATAAAATAATAATAATAGTAATTGTCACCTGACAACGAATTCGACAATGATGATAATTATCTGATTTAATCGAAATTTCCATTTTGTCTAAAACTTTTACGGTAAGAAATGTGTTAACCATTATTAAATTTTTTTTCATAAATAATATTAATAACATTTTTGCAATAAATAATTTTATTTTATTTTTAACTAAACTTCTACATTCTCTATACATACTATAAACAATAGGTTTCTTTTTTGAACTTGATTCAATATTTTTTTAAGTCATTACAAAACCCTTTTAAATTACTTTTTTTTGTTTCAGTTTTTAAAATACTTTTTAACAAGTCGAAATTAATTATTAATTATTGTTGTAACAAATACAAAAAAGAACGAAAATTAACGAAATTCGCGTTTGAAGAGGATCAAATGTTCGTAAATGTGGTAAAGCCAATTTATTTGTAGTTTTGTAAATTTATTTAGTTACCATCTAAGGTTTCAAATATGGCGACTTTTTTAGATATTCTGCTCTGTATTTGATCGTAGCCGATTCCTTGATGTACCAATTTTATGTGATGCTTGCAACGAGTTCTCGTTATGAAACCTCTTTTACAGTGTGGACACGTGTAGGGACGCTCACCCGTGTGAATGCGCACGTGCACCGTTAAATGATTCGCTTCGTGAAAACTTTTCGCACAATGAGGACAAACGAAATCTCTCGTGTTGTTGTGATATTTTTTATGTCTGTTCAATTCGAAAAACGTGTAAAATGATTTTTCGCATCCTTGAATGTCGCAAGAATATGGTTTTATGCCTTCGTGTGTCAACAAATGCCTGTTGTAATTTTTTTCTTCGAAAAATTGTTTTCCGCAATGAGGACATAAAATGCTGTTCGATTTGAAATGCCTTTGCATGTGAAACATGAGAGATTGAAATGTTGACAAACGTTTTCCGCATAAACCGCATTCTCCCATTTTGTACTTGGGATGCATTTTGATGTGTTCCGTAAATTTTTTACCTATTAGAAACTTTTCCCCGCAAACATTGCATTCTAACTCACGTTGACGACTCACGTTATGACCCGCACTACTCTGATGAGTGGTCAAAGAATCCCTGGACGTGAAATTAGCTTTACACGTTTTACATTTAAAATTACTAACGTTTATTTTGTGCAATTCCGAATGTTTTTGCAGACTTGTTTTAGATGGGAGTGGAAGCTTACAAATATCACAATCGAAATATCTAGGATTTAAATGTGCGGATTTATGTCTATCAAAAGAAGCTTGTCTTATAAATTTCCGATTGCATATTTCGCATTTAATAAAATTTTCCATTCGTAACGTTTGTCCTTCTCCGTTAGGTTTTCTTAATTTCGAATTATTTTTCGAATCGTGAACGTTTACAGTGAATTTTCAGGGAATCCCCTTGGAAAACTTGACAGATTTCTAATTTTTTATATAAATTTTGTCCTTTACAACTCGAATAATGTTTTTTATAGTTTTCTATTCCTAAACATTTCATTTCGCACTTTTCACAAATAAATATCATATTTTTTTTACCTTCTTCATCTTCGTCTATATCAACTACATCTGATAAGAAATTATTTACGGGAAAATTCGATTCTTCCGAATAAAAATTATTATGAGAAAAATTTTGAATTTTAAAATTTAAACATTCAACATCTGGACACCAAAAATGATGAAAATTTGATGGCAATGAACTTTTTATTAAATTATAAATTAATGATGATTGAATAAATAAATCAGAATATTTTTCATCAGATTTTGCTAAAGATCCATTTTTATTTACTTTTATAAAATAAACTCCTTCTTTTTTATGAATTTTTAAATGTTCGTAAAAAGTATTTTTACCATCGTTTATTTTATCAAATGAAATTTCCATTTTGCACACAGGACAAATTTTATTTAAAGATTTTTCTACTAGAGAATTAGGAGGTTCTTCTTCATAATGCTCCTCAAGTAAAGAATCTATTTTAAATTGAGATTCTTCACATGAATAAACATTTTCAATTTCATAAATTTTCGACGAGTTATTTAATATTGACATAAGTGTCACAGCTTCAGTAAATGATACAAAAATTTTTTCATCTTCTTCTTCATTTAGTTCTAATGGTTCTCCAACACTGTCAACTTTAATAAAATAACATTTCTGTGATGTCGCTCAAATGATATAAATCATCGATCCATATACGCATGTCAAATTACAAACTGGACATGTAAACTTAATACAAAAATTTTTTATTTTGTTTTTATTATTGTGAATTTTTAAATGGTTTCCTATTTCCATAATATTTTCAATTTTTTTACTGCAAATCATACAATTGAAAATGTTTAAATTTACTTTGAAAACTTTACATGAATTTTCATTATGAAATGGGAAATTTGAAATTTTTGACAATCGTTAAAACTAATTTTTTTTCCCGATGAATCGATTGTAAAAAATTTATAACCTTCCTCGGAATGTTTTGTCAAATGATTTAAAAATTCAAATTTTTTATCTCCTTTAAATTTACAAACTGGACATTCATAATAAAATTTATTATTTATTGTTACATGAGAATGATGAATTAAATAATGATTATTCAAGTCTTTCATTTCTTCATAAGAATTTTTACATTCTGAACATTGAAAAATTAATAAATTAACATAGTGAGTAAAACTATTTAAATTTTCTTCTTTCATATTACTTTTAATTTCATTAATTTTTTTATTTTCTTCTTCATTTTCCCCAGTCTCTGGTAATTTTTGACGTAATTTTACTTTGGAATGATCATTAATTAAAGATTTACAAAAATGAAGTAATTCTGAATTTTCATTTTCGTTTAAACTAATATCCTTAATACATATTTCAGCATCAAGTTTTTTATCTTTGTCACTATCAGGTACAAAAATTACATAATATTTATTTTTATCTACATCTAACTCTTTCTCTTTAACAATTTTTGAATTTTTTAAAAATCTTTTCGATTTTATTTTTTTCGTTTTTATCTTGCTACGACAATATGATTTCTTGCCTTTTTCTTTTCCGTTTAAATCTTGGTCACAAGATAACAGCAAGTGTAGGTAAGCATCAGATGATTTTACTTTTTCTAAAAATTCTGATAAATGCTTCATTTGAGTTAAACAATTTTGACATATCTTCTTTGGTAAATTATCATCGCATTTAACCTAAAAAAAATTTCAAATTTATTTTAATTTTATTATAATATTATAAATGTATGATTGGATAATTGAAAGTGTTTAATGTCTGAAAAACAATTTTAATTTTTTTTTTTGATTAAATTTAACTTATTTTGTGTAATTTTTCTTTGAAAATTTTACAGTGGCATAAAAATATTTATACCTCTATTTTGGTAATTTTAATAAATTGTTTATGAAAACCAGTACTGAATATATCTATCATATCTTTTTGACATTGCAAACAAATCCTGCAAACTGAATTGAAATCTTTAACCGTTAACACGGTTTGTAACATTTCATTTGTTAATATAAATATAAAAAAAAAAATTAATAATATTTAATAATAACGTTAAATAAAGTAATTATGTACAAGTGATAACAACACCAAAAAAATTACGAGTCGGATGAAAATTGAATTAAATTTTTCAAATATTGGCGGCATTGTAGTTGTATTAACAGGCAGACGATTCATACGAGAAGGTGGAGTTACAAGGTTTCATTAATGTGTAGGTGATCTTTAGTGTTAATTTTTTAACAGAGAAATTAAAATTTTTAAAAAAATGTCCAGGCAGAATGATCGTCAAAACTATGCACCAACATACAAATTAGTTGTTGTCGGTGGTGGCGGTGTAGGAAAATCAGCACTAACAATTCAATTTATACAAGTAAGTACATTTGTTTCAACAATTTCATGTATTTTTCGTTTTCCTACGCCTACTGTTTATAAATAAAATGGTCTTTTCTTATAAGATAAACATAATTAAAAATGTTTCTTAATCCTATGAATTGATTGCTTAATCAAATTTTTGTCATTTCCTTTTTTGTACACTCATGAAATTTACTATAATAAATTTATATATCTCTGATTTTTTAATTAAACAATCGGAAAAAATTACAATCGAAACTTTTATAAAATGTTTTTTAATAATTTTAAATTTCGTACGACACCGAAAAATGCCAATTTTTTCGATTTTTTACAATTTTAAATGAGCTTAATTAAAATAACTTTAAATCAGTTTAATATAAATTTTTCCTTTTTTCTTTTAACTATTCCAATTTGATTTAATTATATTATTATAAAAATTTTTAGACATTCAATATAAACTTTTCTTACTTCAAAAATATACTTTAAGTTCAAAAAAAAAAAAAAAAAAAAAAAATTTTTAATTTAAATAAATCAATTTAATATCAAATTATCAAATAATTTTAAATTTTTTTTTTTTTTTTAGAGTTATTTTGTATCTGATTATGATCCAACCATTGAGGATTCATATACAAAACAATGTGTAATCGATGACATAACTGCCAAATTAGACAGTAAGTACAAACAAAACTTTCAGTCATAATTTATGAATCATTAGTTTTTTTATTACAAAGATGCACTATTTACTTTTTTTTGATAAAAATTTTATCTTAAATAATGTTACAACTGTATTTTTTGTAATTAGTTTTAGATACTGCTGGTCAAGAAGAATTTAGTGCAATGAGAGAACAGTATATGAGATCTGGAGAGGGATTTCTTTTAGTGTTTTCAGTTACTGATCGAGCGAGTTTTGACGAAATGTACAAATTCCATAAACAGATATTAAGAGTTAAAGATAGAGATGAATTTCCCATGCTTATGGTTGGCAATAAGGCTGATTTAGAACATCACAGGAGTGTAAGTCATTTAAAATGGTTAAAATATATTAAATTTTTTTTTGTGACAAAAATTTTTTAATTTAAAATATAATTAATCAGGTGTCAACTGCAGATGCCCAAAGATTATCACAAGATCTTCGTGTGCCATACATTGAATGCAGTGCAAAATTAAGAATGAATGTCGATCAAGCATTTCATGAATTGGTGAGAATCGTTCGTAAATTTCAAGTCGCAGAAAGACCTCCATTAAAGCCGAGTTTGAACAAAACTAAGAAAAAATGCGTGATAATATGAATGTTTCTATTAAAAATAATTTATTCTTTTTTTTTTTTTTTACACTGTGAGAGAGAGACAAATTGAGAGGTATCACATTTAACAATTATTAACTTATATTAATGATTTAAAACGCGGTGATTTCCAGTATATACTATTCTGACTTTCTCAATAGTTACACTTTTGAAAAATTTAATCATTTTGTAAAAAAAAAAAAAAAAAAAAGTTTTCGAAGGCTGAGCTGAGAGTTTCCAATCGAACCTTAGATCTTTGGGTTACCTTAAAACACTTTTTGTTTTATAAATAAGAATTTTACTAACTATAATAACAAAAATAAATAAATAACAGTAATAAAAATAGTAGATGGGCCTTAACAAAAGTGTTTTTACAAAACTCACTGGTATTATTAATTAATTTTATGTATTTTTTTCTATTTTTTGTAATAGGAAAATAAAGTGCCTTAGTTACAGTTTTAAAAAAAAATTTAAAAATCGCCTTTTTTTTTTTAATTTTGTGCCTTCATAGTTTATAAAAAATTGTTGTTTAGGATTTAAAAGCATTTTTTTTTTTTCTAGTGTATATTATTATGTAACAAGAAAAAAATAATAATAATAATAATAATAAATGAAAGCCTACTAATCGTAAATGTCTTACATATTTGTTTAATGTAAAAAATTAGAAGTAAATCAGCGTGACAAAAAAGTTAAATATTTGTATATTTTTTTTTTATAAGCCAAATTGTTCTGTCATAAAATAAAAAACAAAAAAAAAAATTTGCTTTAAAAATAGAAAATTATTTAGAGTTTATTTTAAAATAAAAAAAAAAAAAAAAAAAAAAGCACAAAATCTTGTTTAACAACAATATAACATATGAATATTATTAGCTTAATATTTATATATATTAAAAAAAAAAATTTAGCTTTGCTTACACGATGCTTATATTTTTTTTAAAAAAAAATTTATAATTATTTATTTTAAATAAATAATTTTGTCACGTTGTTTATTATTTAATAAAAAAAAATTTATTTAATAATAATAAAATAATTAATAACTGTAAGGAAAACACCACATTATGTAGGTTAGTTATGTTATTTTTTTTTTTTTTTTTTTTAACAATCGAATACTGCCAGTATTTTATATAATTATTATCATTATTAATAATTGTTTTTTTTTTGACGTTCTCATAATAATAATT